GTGTGTGTGTGTGTGTGTGTGTGTGTGAGAGAGTGTGTGAGAGAGTGTGTGATAAATAAGCTACACATTTCTTTTATATAATCAACCGCTCGCAGTGATGGTTTTGACTCAGGACAAAAGTGATCATAGATAGAAGTTTCCACAGTAGAATTTAGTCAGGAGCAGGCGGCACAAGATTCAATGGAGCTGTCTTGCAATTCCTTGTTCTCTCTCTGTTGTCTTCTTCTGACAATGACTCATTGATGGAAAAACCTGTCAATGATCTGAATATCTTTTATTTATTATCTAGGATGACCACACACAAATTCATCTGCAACATGGTGTATTCATGTCTCCTCGCTCCTCTGTGACACAGGGGGCAGCCTGGAAGAAACATGAGCAATGATACCAGTAACCTTTCTTCACTTAAATCTGATCCAAACACCCTTTGATTAGAAATGTTCTGCTGACTGATTAAGTTTGATTTTATTTGTGTTCCAACTCACCATTTAGTCACAATGATTGGATCTGTGGAAACTGTTGGACTGATTGATTAATGAAGCATAAACACCTTTCTTAAACCTGTAATGTGTGCAATCTTACAGACAGCGAGAAGAAAGTCAGTAATCTTTCAGCATTAAATATTGAAGTTGTCTTTTTTTCTGTACAATTGTCCGCACTCCCTACGAGATATTCAACTAAATCAGTATATAACCTGTATACTTACATATTGTCTTCACGAACATGTAACTCAAGCATTGTTGGCTTTGTGCTTCAGTTGTTTGAGCAGTAACCTAATAAACTGTGATGTGAAAATCTGTTTAGTCCAATGAGTTGACGTCTTTAGATGAGTGTTCAGAATAAAATACGCCTGATATGTCTTAAAACATGTTTCATCACTTCCTCTCTCCTCAAATCTTTACTTGCATCCAAGATTTGAAAGAAGCAAACACGGAGTTTAAGAACAAATGAGAAGCAGCAATTCTCTCTGTTCTCTGGACAGGAGATGAGATGGATTTCAGAAAGAATTCTCCTGAAAAACACCAATGGTGTTGGCCATGCATTCTTATATGGAAGTGGAATCTACGTCAGTATAACCGGTCGTTGCATTTTGTTGTGCCATTCAACATCTGCTGGGAAGTGTGAATAGGCTTGGTGAGGTTAATGATTAACTGGTGAAGAATTATGGAATGATTCTACTGCCTCATAGTAAATCAGCATTATTAGATACATTTCTGGTTAATAAAATAATTATTTCCTTTATAATACCTCCAGCCTTTCAATGTTTTGAACACTTTTTCTAAATGATGAGGAAATGCTCATCACTACTTATTCAGATGATTGCCACCATTTTTTGATGCAATGAAAATTCAGAATGGATAAAAATCATTTGTCATATCAACAACTGCATTGTACTTTTTGTCAAACTCTACAGAACCTTGTGCAGTCAAAATCCTTCACAATTCACAAATGTTATGCTCAATCTCAGTTATTGATTGCAAAGGTGGGAAAATCTGATGGCTGGAAAATAGTGAAGTCCTCTAAAAAGTGTTCTCACATAGACATTCTGATATGGTTCATTTCATTCATTTTGATCATCTGATATACAAAGTCATATTGAACTATACTGACATTTTTATTGATATAAAAACGACATGTTCTGTCAAGTTTTTATGAGCCTTTGTGAGGATGGACCCTCTACTTTACATACATCAGATTTGAAACTTGTCATTAGTGAGCCTTCCTCAAACCGTTCTACAATTTACTATGACTTTTTTAGTTGAGTTTGTGTGCAGAGCTGTTTATATAGTCTATGGTGCAGAGTGTAGTTAGAAAAGTTTGCAGTCATTCTACCTGGTTTATCTGCAATGAACGTTTTATATTTTATACATTATTAAACAAAAGTGAGTTTGTCCATGTGTGTGTTTTATATATGGGTTTGAATGATTTATTTAAAGGTACAGTGTGTAGAATTTAGTGACATCTAGTGTTGAAATTGCATGTTGCAGCTGAAAGCCCCTCACCTCACCCTCCCCTTCCAAACATGAACAAGAACCTGTGGTTTTCATGAAAACTCAAAAGGTGTTTAGTTTGTCCAGTCTGGAATACTGAAAAAAACATGGTGGCCTCAACATTTATATATTTAAATATAAAGGGTCTTTTCTGGAGAAAACTAAACTAAAATTCAAACTAGTGAAAACATCATGAGGATTATTCTACATTACATTTCTGCCATTAGATACCTTTCACTTAAATCTTACACACTGGTTACTAAACTAGTGTTTATTACATTTTATTGAATGTATTGCATGTCACTTGACACTCTTTGGGCAATTTACAATACATATGCCTAGTGTGAGGTCGAAAAAAAAATTATATTAGTGTGCAGCAGTCTTTGCCCTACTCTCTCCTGCACATACACACTGATGAGCTGTGACAGTCAGACCGACCATCAGCAGCACCAGAAAAAGTCCTCCCTGCATCCATAAAGCTTTGGAGGTTTGTGGAATTAGTTGTCAGAAGTAAATGAATACTGGCTGATGATAAATGTATGTTTTTCAGGTGTGGGGAAGTGACTGGCTCACACTCATACTCTCTCTCTGCACTGAATGCAGCCTTACTGTTGGAAAATGGATCAATCTCCACATGCAACTTGCAGTTAAGATAAAAAATGAGAACTTCCCTGAACTGATTTTGTTGAAATCAGTATGAGGATGGGTCGGGGAAGAACCCATTCAATTTTAGTATGCATCTGCATCAGTAGCCTGATCCAGGAATGTTTTTCACCTTCTTTAACATTGTGAGATAGGCCACAGTTCAACATTTTCATTGTTTTCCCAGGGAATAACTCATGGTTCTTGATGAAATCAATCAATGAGTTTGTGTAATTTAGTGCAGCCTAGATGAATTTTAGGGGACTGTTGGGCCTTTGCAGAGGTATGAGCTCTACTGAGTGCCATTCTAGTTGTGATATTGTATCCAACCAGCTGCAGTCTCCTTAAAGTTGTGATCTCTGAAAAAATTGCATTTTTCAAGTTCCACAACATGACACTGAACACAGCTGTTGCAACAAGACACGGATTTGCTGGCTGCTGGGATAGCACACAGAGCTTTGCAAGATGAAAAGACAGGCCTATTGTTATTGAGAGATTTTACCTAAACCCACACATGTAAGGAATCAAAACTAGCCCTACAATTGACCCTGACCAAGGCATTTTAGCTGCACACTGTTGCTATTGGTTTTAAATATATTGAACACACTTCGCTAGAGAGCTTAAAATACTTATAAAATATACTGTTAAGATGTGTTCAAGAAGTGAGGGAGAGTGGTGTGTTTGAATGCACGTCACAGTTTTTAAACTGTATGTGTATCAAATCCCATATAAGGCAACTTTCTGAGGATTCTTAAGACTAAAGAGGTTTCTTAAGACTAAAGACCCGTCTGTTAAACTCCTGAAATTTGCAGACGACACAACGATCATTGGCCTCATCCAGGACGGTGACGAGTCTGCTTACAGACGGGAGGTTGAACGGCTGGTCTGCTGGTGTGGTCAGAACAATCTGGAGCTGAACATGCTCAAAACTGTGGAGATGACAGTGCACTTTAGGAGACGCTCCCCCACTCTGCCGTCCATCACCATCACCAACAACTCTGTGACTGCTGTTGAAAATTTCAAGTTTCTGGGCTCCACAATCTCCCGGGACCTGAAGTGGGAGACCACCACAGTCACCATGATCAAAAAGGCCCAGCAGAGGTTGAACTTCCTGCGCCAGCTCAGGAAGCTCAACCTGCCTAAGGAGCTGCTGTCACAATTCTACTCTGCCATCATTCAGTCTGTTTTCTGCTCCTCAGTAACTGTTTGGTTTGGATCGGACACAAAACAGGAGAAGAACAGACTGCGGACAGTAAGGACTGCAGAGAAAATGATGGTGTCAGCCTGCCCTCCATCCAGGACCTGCTCCTGACCAGAGTCAGGAAACGGGCAGGTAACATCTCTGCAGACCCATCACACCCTGGATACAAACTGTTTAAACTTCTCCCCTCCGGTAGGCGCTACAGAACACTATACGCCAAACAACAGCTTTTTCCCTCAGGCTGTCTCTTTGTCAAACAGCTAAACCGGACTGAAATATCAGAAACATCACCTGTAATATATCTGTACATTCAATATACTGTACAAACTGTATATGTATATTTATTATTTCATGCTTGCACTATGCACCATTTGCACCAACTATTTAGCTTTTTTGTACATGTACATAGCTTTTGTTATTGTCTTTTGTCCTTGTTCATCTCTGTTTGTTTGTTGTTTTTTTTAAACTGTTGTACTAAGAGAACAAAAGAGTCAAATTCCTTGTGTGTGTTCACATACCTGGCAATAAAAGCGATTCTGATTCTGATTCTCTAAAGAATTGCACATGACATAGGCCTTCACAGACCCAAAGTACTATACAGTACAACAACATTTAAAGTATCAGTAATTTCCTTTTTTAGCATTGAAGTCATACTACTGTTCGACTGCTGCAGGTGCTGACAAACACTGTGAT